AAACGACAAAGGGGATGTAAATCTATCAAAGAGCCATCCATACTATAGCCAAGTACAATATCAGATGGGGGTGACTGCAAGATTATGGTGTGACTTTTTTGTATACAGCAAACATGGATTTTACCYGGAGAGAATTAAGTTTGATGTAGAAAGATGGAAAGCACTTGAGAGTGCAGCAGATTATGTTTTTGAAAATCACATTATCCAATACCTCATGAGTAACAAAAATAAAAACAATTAACATTGCATTATTTTGCATAGACAGTGCTAAGAACACAAAGCAAAAGGCCTCAGCATAGTCAAACAGGCTTATATATTAATATTAGGACCTTCGAGTTAAATAGGCTCGTTATGCCTTCACACAAAACATTTAGCAATGTAAATGCATTGTTCTGGCAACATGATTATTGTTTTAGTATATTAATTTGAAATAAAACTAATTAACTAAAGGTGGTAAAAAGTTACAAAGGCAAGCAGCAACTGTCACAATGTCATCTGCAATAGGTAAAAGTGTAACCGGTAATACATTTCTCAGCAAAGCAAATTGCTTCATCCTCCCTATAGCACGCTCCACATGAATTCTTGCATTTGCCACCTTCTTTGTGGCTTTTACATTTTCTTGAGTCATCTGTTCTATGCCACTGCTGGGAGGAGGAATCTTGATAGTTGACCCTTTTATAAGCAGATCTTCACGAATAGGAAAACCACGGTCAGCAAGAACGAGATCTCCAGGTTCTAATTTATCAAGGAAACCAGACTGCCTTGTTATATGTTGATCAGATGCCCTGCCTCCCCACACTTTGGATAAGAAACTGATCATCCCATTAGGAGCAATACCAACCAAGAATTTGATTGTGTTGTGCTTTTTATAATCTGACCAGGTAAGTGCTTGTGTTTCYAAATCCCTTGGTCTTTCAATGAAGATTTCACTGCAATCAATGGTGCAGCAGAGGTTAGGATACCCTTTCAGAGAACGTGGTAGTTTTTGCCTGATAGTATCTCTATCTGGCCAGTAAATCATAGATCTTAGCTCCTTGGCCAAAAACTTCATCCATGTGTTACATATCATTGACACTAGACCAGCACTAATCATAAACAAATCTGATAATAACTCTGTAGGAAGAGCAAGTTTTAATTTCATCAATGTCAAAAGCACCTCATCTTTAACAGTAAGCTTTCTTTGTGGTCCCCTTTTACTTGTTTTGATTGGCTTTCTTTTAAAATGTTGCTTAGCCTTAGTAACAATTACTCTTTGTGTTCCTCTCCAATATCTAATCTTTAGGGATTTCTTGGTTAAATGCTTACAYAGTGAGTCAAAACAATCTTTGTTTGGTAGACAAGTGTAAAAGCTGACCTTTGAATCATTTATTGTAAATTTTCCAGTTGGTGTTACCACTTTTTCTTGTTTRTTTATGTCATAAATGTTTGCATATGCCTTTTCAAGTTTGTCTTTAAGACGTGCAATTTCTAAATCCTTTGATAAACAACCCRCACAATTACAGTCTCTTCTGCAGTTGCATCCTCCTGAAGATGTGGGTAAAGTATAATCATGATCATTATTATTTATGTTGGTTATCAAGTGATCATTTCCAGAATTGTCTTGTTTATCTTGCTCTTCGGATGTGTTGYTAGACAATTTGGACTTTTTTGCAGATGTGTGAGATCTATGAGGTAAARCTCTTTTCCGTTTTGGCACAAAATGATATGTACTTGCACTACTTGTAGCATCCACAAGATTTATTGAGGGGCTTGGGTTGGACTCTGATGGTTTTCCGTCTACAAAGTGAAGAGAACAGACCCTAGAGTCGAAGTTTGGCTTCCAGTTTTTACCAGTCTTGGTATCTTTTCGGTTGACTGCTCTTATCCAATCTWTTCTGGCCTCGGGGGACATAGAAGTTGGAAAGGGAAACAGCCCAAAGGGAGGCTTACAACCACATTGTTGATGTTTTGTACCGTGGTGAATGCTAAAATCTTTCGCTTTCCACTTATTTAGTTGATAGTTGCTGCTAGAGCAGTGTTGAAATGCACAAATTCTCATCTATAACAGCAGTAAATGAAGTCATTTAGTAAACAAAAAACCGAATTCACGTGCCACAAAAGCAAACGCAATTGAAACATGAAACAAAATCTATTAGTGATTAACAAATAGTCGCTATTTAGAGACTAATAGTCGTTATAATCACTTTTATTAAATTATCGTAGTCCGAAAGAAGTAGAAGACTGGCGATCAAGAGAGAACACTACAGCACTGCACCTAATCCATGAATGGAAACTAATGCTTACAAACCAAGACATTTTTTACATAAAACAAATTTATCAGATAAACAAAGCTCACGGACAATGCTACTAGACCTCATTACATACCTTGGATTATAAATTTTCAAACAGGAAACGTTATAAAGCTCTGCTAGCGAAAGTAAACAACAATCATTTGTACAAAGACGAAGGGAAGAAATTAACATGGCGGCGGATTTTTTCCCGAATCGGTACCAGGCCCCGCGCGCCCACTAAACTGTGAAAAGGCTTATACGGGTAGTGGATCGTCATCCGAAGATCTAGAAGACATAATTAGCAGCCCGCGCTTGACCTCGCAAGTGTTTGTGACTCGTACACCGCATGGATCGTAATTCAGCTGTGAAATCTGATGTCTTTGTAACTTTGTATACATTGACATCTTTGAAATMTGATATCTTTGCAACTTTGTATCTTTGTATCTCTGTATCTCATTTTAGTGCAGGCCTCCTACGTCTCCTAATCCTATACCATAATTAATGATAATTTTTAGCTTTCAGAATTTTCGTACCCATGTTGGATGAAAGTAAGAAATAAAGTTGAAAATATCACTGTGTCTGGGGTTTGCTCATCCACCATGGTGACTACAGCTTTTTTTCCTTTAATCTCAATGAATTTTAGACTAGTGGCTGCCCCGACATAATGTTATTATTATATTAACTAATTGTTACACTTCATTATTACTCCTGGAAAGCCTGAGAAAAACCAGCCAAGTCATTGAGCTTTCGATATTCGTTACCACTTGACGGGTCTAAATCCGGCAGTCTTGCTGAGGCCTCAGCTGGATTCAAAACTAGCCTAAGTTTTATATAATGGAGGGCAGTTTTACTACTCCTCCATCCTATGTTATCCATTATCTCATGTAATGCAGCACCAGAGTGAGACTGCGGCTCCACTTCGAAAACTATGTAAAGTAACCCGCCTATCACCAATTACCTTCTTCAGGGGCCAACATATTTCTTACGCCTAGCTTGTTCAACAGAGGGATTGAGACAAACGCCTGACATCCTGCCTGACTTGGACACCGATCGGAACAAAAACCCGGAATTAATTTTATTCCAAGACTCGCGCACAATCACCAATAACGCTCAATTCCCGTGACTGGACAAACTTGCTTATTGGACCCCCTCTTAAACGCAAAAACGTATGTATCACCTGACCCCAAGGTCTTTGTCCAGACATGATTGAACAAAAACCCCGAGTCTTCAGGGAAACGCCTAACGTCTACCGACTTTAGACTTTAATACAAACTAGACGCTCCTGTAGCGTGAAGTCGGACTAGCTATTTTTGAAAATTGACTGAAGACAGGATATTACATGGATGCGCGTACAGGAGAACGAGTTAAAGGTTTTAAACACGATAAGATTATGATGTTATATTCTGTCTAATCATTTGCATATTATGAATGTAGATTATGGCGTAGAATATATTTTACTTCTGATACATAGTGAAAGCAAGAATGTGTTCCCTCTCTTTAATTAATGTGATGTTCAAAACCGTTTCTTCACAGGATACGATATTCTTTTTGACTACTCTCTGCAACGACTTCTAAATCAAAACTAGAAATCTAAATTTGACCTAACAGGTCATGTAATTAATACCCGGCGAACAGAGTGTATTTACAACTGAACTGATAAAATCAAACATGGTAGACTAAATGTCGCGAAGTGATATCTAATATGTTTATAATTCAAATTGTCGAAGTCAGCCCAAGATAATGAATAATTCAATAATCAAAGCCGCATTTTTGTTATTGATAAACAAAGTTTCTTCTTGTTCTAATTTCAAATCTTTGCCCAAACAAAACTGTCTAACGCTAAAATTCAGTTTCGTACGCATACTACTCGAAACTCCATGCGATCCGCCAATGCGTGTACGTCTGATGGCTAGACTGATGCATTCCGATGAGATACCAAAGATACCACATTTGTAAACGAAGAGTTTTTTTTATCACATAAAAGTGCAAGTAATATCTGACATTTACTAACGATATTCGTACATCTATACGTTTTAAAAGCTTCCGGTCATGTAATAACAGCCAACCCAATAGTTAATTGTTAAATCCTTAACTTCCGGTGGTCCAAACGCGACATGACACACAGATAGATAGATAGGCTAAAAGTTAAAACTTAAGTCGACCTGGACTTCGGCTAGTCCTTCTAAAAAATCCAAAGTACGATCCCCCGCAAAAACAAAGCCTTAAACAGTGCTTGGAGTCCGAGCCAGAATATAGATACGTCTAGGGGACAGTCCTACTGGTTGCCTTAGTTGTTCCATTATACAAGCAGCACAAATGTGCGTCAGATCTTCTAGAAAAACCGGTTCAAAACCCGGTGAAAACCCTGATTGACAGAATCCACCTCCAAACCCAAGTACTCTAGCGACGTAGCCTGGAGAACGCATTTGGAGAGTCCCAAGGTGTAACCGAGGCGGGAAAGGGTATATGCTACAATATATACAGCCCTTTGAGCAGCAGTGATTTTCGGAATTTCCCCGCCAACAGATTGTAGTTCTCCAACATGGCGGCCGTCTATGTACAGCGAGCAAGGAATTCCCATAGAGCGGAAAAAATTCGAGGCCACTAGTCCTGTGGAATGGTAGACCCACGCGGAAAGCTTCCATCCAAACGGGATCGCATTAGGAACAAAATACCAGCCTTTCCATTTTATCCCAAAGTATGTTCGGCTCTTCTCATCTAGGAGCACGTGGTCGTAGCCGGATTTATCGTCTAGGACACATTGAAAAGAGTCTTCTCCTAGATATCGCGGCAGATGCGATAAATTGTCCAATTTGAAGGGCCTATCTACCATCCAGAGGTTTAAAAAGCAATTGTCGTGGCATAACCGGGGCTTTGAGGGCTCGACGGTCAGAGGCATCACGATATGGGGATTGGTCGACTTCCCCAACTTTCCCAACGACTGATATGGCACCATTAGCTACTCTCTCTTGGATAGTGTATGAACTCCGAGAACTTGACGCAGGACTTATTATTATCAAACATCATAGAGGGTGGTCGATCGTGGTCAAACTGCTGCCCACGGAAACTCCCTTTAAAATGCTGAAAATACGGGAAAATGCACGCCTTATTCGACAACCAATTCAAAACTTCCAGGGCATCTTCGTATGGAACTCCCAGTCTCTTACATGGAGATGAAGCTGCCCCGCTATGAAATGCTTCGGGTACCGGAAGGGTAGATTGGCTAGATCGGGAGATATCGATCCGCATGCAAACTTCTGGATCAAGTCGAAATCGCAGGGAGGGGCTGCCATACCCTCGAGAGACCCCAGGGGACTCGAGTCCACCCTGACCCACTTTGTATTCTTTCGTCGTGGTTCCATTTTTGCAAGTGGATCGAAGTGACTGGCCAGCTTAAAAGGTTTCTGAGGAAAAGCAGTAAACACAAATCGAGCTTTAAACCGCGTTTTTTTACACAAGACATGTCACTTTGTGCACATTAAAATGAGCTAAAAGCAGCAAATGGACTCGAGCCCCCTGGTGGAGGGTATGACAGCCTGACCCAGATCAACCGGGTGGGGGGACGTTTTGCTCCTGTTTCAGACTGACAATACTCTCAACCAGAGGATAGAAAACAAAATATGAAACAACGCATTGGAGTTTTTGAAATGCTTTATTCTTTGACCATGACAACATTTTCCGTTACGTCTTGCAGGATGATCTAATACCTCTTGTTGGGGCAGTCTCTCGCGAGGTGTTGAGGAGAATTACATAAAAACACGTCAGCCGCCGGTAATTCGTCCTCCTCTCGTATGGTTTTGAGGGGGGTCGCCGATCACGAAAATCGGTCTGTCTGGGCTGCCATACAGAGGGAGCATACGTCGCGGTGTCCATGAGGGGCACAGGGCTTTCTCTTAGACCGGCTGATGGGCGGCGGTGCTCTTCAGAGGTCCTTAAGTTTTTTAGGAACTTGTTGGATCTTTCGAGAATCTTGCTCTTGATCGGGTCTCCTACCAAGGACACAAATAGGTCTCTGAGAGAGCCCTTAGAAAGAATCTTGGCGTGCATCGTCAGCTCATCAAGAATATATTCGTACTCTCTTGCTTTTTTGCTGTTATTCACTTTAGCCACGCGTACTAGCGTTTCTCTGCCAGAGTATCATCCGGATCAAATCGTGTTTTGTCCATTGTCCTATGGAGAACCTGTAGGGCTTGGGCGACCAAGCTCTCCTTTCCCTGATTTACCAGCCGCTCTTCAAAAGTGGGAGGTCTCTAAAACGGTACGAGTGTTGACCGGTTTAACAAAGCAGTACTACTAGCTTGGGAACACACCATGGAAGCGCGCAGACTCAATAAACAACCGGACTCGAAATCCTTAATATTTGCGGTATTTTGGTGGGAGACTAACGAGCTGCGTTGTAGTTATCACAGCAATCTCTAGTGCTGAAGATGTGGCGTGGTTTGGGTTTAGGAAAAAACAAAACAAAATTAAACGAGAACTTGATCTTGGGTTCCCTGTGGCGTCAGGGTAAGAAATTGCAGCACCGGGCGAAAACTGAGTAGTGAGGGAGATGGTGGGTAGAAAGAGACTGGACGGCAGGTCCTAAAAATACTAACTCACAATTCCTTTAAAATTTACTCAA